ACCGGGGGGAGCCGAGGCGGCCAGGGAGGAACAGCCAACTGCCGGCAACCAGCCGGAACTGCTGGGGCCGGCCCGTATTGAAGAATATGGCCGAATTTACCCGGGCTGGCCGTATATCGGCGTATAACACGCACACATCATTTGCCCCCTATTTTCAGGGGGAAAAAGTGCGTGTTATACGCCGATAAATACGGTAACTTGTCTTTGAAAGAAGACATAAAAGTAACATTATAGTGAATAATCCTTTCAGTATCTTTGAAAGTAAATGGACATCGTACATAGAAACAGTTGGATGAGTTCTTTTCTTTTTTTCAGAAAAAGAGGGCCAGTGGCATATGCTTCTCAGAAGCCATGGTTGTTAAATGCTACGGTGGAAGAAAATATCACTTTTGAAAGCCCCTTCAATAAACAAAGGTAATGTGTGTAAGAGCCATGTAAAAACTGATTATAGTCAGTCCTCATTATCATCCTGTCAGTAAACATTTTTACTGTTGTTGACAATGTTATTTTCCTAGCTACATTGTGCAAATGTTGAGTTATTGTATCAGCTATAGTTACCTTTCAACTATGTAAACATCGGAAGCATCAACCCATATCGATCAGGGATCTCTCTTTTCCTGAAAAGTCTCTCAAAGAATGTATTTTCCAACCTGGAAAATTATTTATAAAATAAGTAACCAATGTGTTTGAGTACATTTCAGCACTAGGTAGTTTTTGTTTTGTTTTTTTAGTTATAATATGCCACATTTGCTTCTGACATCCTTCTTTAAGAAGTCATTTATTTATGTTTGTATTAATATTATGAGGCAATACAAGTCATATTCTCAGATTCTGCAGAAATAATATGGGATCACTATCGTGATATATCCAGTACAAGATGACTTCTCAAAGAAGTCTTAAGAATAATTCCAAAGTCTTAGCACTCTTTATTAAATAGCAATTTAAACATAACACTCTCACAGTTGTCCATTATATCACCTTCTCTTAACTCCTTCTTTTTCTCTTGTTAATGTTTATTTTTTTAGACACTGCCATCACATTTTAGATCTTTTCAATTTATTTTATGTAGTAATTTACACTTCCCAGTACAAATAAATGAATGCCATGCTCTTGACCTACAGTGTTGACAAGTTTAAACTAGCAAATCATTTGATTTAAATCATTTAGATCCTGAAGCCCCTAAAGGCAGTTGTAGGTTATAGTCTCCAAGGAATACAGAACCAAGGCACACTTTTTTTAGCTTCAAAATATTTGACAATGAGCTATTAAAGTATAATTTATTTGCATGAAACAGGTGGGATTCCCATTAGAAAAATAAGTGCTTAGCAAGCATGCATTTTCCAAAG